TTTTTTTTTTTTTTAATTGTTTAACATTACCAAGAATTTTGAGAACACATTGTTACAGGGTTAAAAGGCTAAAAGGGATATTATAAATATGCAAGTAATTTGAGAAGCATTAAGCACAAAATAAGTATATGTAGCTAAAGCTAAAATATGTTTGAGAAAGTGCATAGTTGCCATTGAAGTTATTGAAGCAGAAAAACAAAAGACATTAGAAGATTCTAGTCAGGCTTTTGGTCTTTGGGAAGTGCCATTGAAGGGAAAAGGTATTATGCCTGGAGCTTTCGACGTCTTAGTTGGTGATGTAGTATATAAATCAGTTAGCTTAAGCATCTAGAGCTGTTATGATTTGTTTAAGTGAGAGCTTATGGCCTAAATGGCTTTTAATGACCATGAATTTTTTGTTGATATGGTTAAAATTGCCTGGGGATATAGTATCTCAGGGTTCAACTACAGATGAATAGATTTATCACTTTGGGTGGAGGTTGGCAAACATAAGTTATCTACTATTTTTCTCTAATAACATTCCTATAACAACTAGAAGCCATTGTACTGTTCACAGTGGTAAACAATAAAGTTAAAATTTCTTAGTTTCTTTATTTTAAATATTCTTAAAACTGGCTAATTAAGTCCTAGAATAACAGACTATTCTTCTGGAGCTAATCAAATGTATGAAAGAGTGGGCTTAAAAAATTTTATTAGATAATATTTTAAAATAGGCTTTTTTCTTGCTGACATAACTAACATTTATTTTCTGTTTATTTTTAAGACGAGCAAAAATCAAATTAAAGTAGATCTTGTAGATGAGAATTTTACAGAATTAAGAGGCGAAATAGCAGGACCTCCAGACACACCATATGAAGGCAAGTACTTTTTTCTGTATCAAAATATTGTGCGTATTAGAACTTGTCAGAAACATTAAGTCAGAATAATCTTGAGCATCTGTAAACTACATGGATGACAATATTTGGCTTAAGATATATAGCAACTTAAAAAATAATATATTGAGACACCTAATCTGATCTCACTGAATTTTAGCTAATATATTTCTTTCCCCATAACAGATGCAGCAGGCCCAAGTTACAGACTATGTAGGTTAGAAATTTAACAGAGTAAAAACATAGACTGTAAGCCTCTAAACTTATATACAGTATAGACTCTCAATTAACCTTCATATGGTATTTATAACAATCCTTGCCTTAAATTTCTGACTGTTTATGTTTTTAAAGTTCCCTTCCCATTTGTCTTACAGCATTTCATTCACTCACATCTTCATACAGGCTGTAGTCTGTATATTTAATTTTCTTTGTAAAGCTTTGAATAATCATTTTTAAGACATATATTAAAGAAAGGAGGCAGCTTTACTGAATGTCATGTTCAGAAATTTAAAATCTGTAGCTATTTTAGACCATGGACTTGAGGGTATGATACAGAAGGAAGCTTTGTAACTTTTAAATTTCTCATTATGCATAAACTATTGTACATTTGGGTTTTATAGCATAACCAAGGTTCTTGCATATAATAGGTACTCAATATCAAATATTTGTTTAATAGAAAACAAATATGTGGTAGCTCTTATAAGAGTATTACATATATTTTCTTATTCAGTCATTATAACACATCTTGAGGTAAGTATGATTATTGTTTCATAGATATAAGAAACTTAAGCTCAGAGGAGTTAAGTTACTTATCTAGAGTCAAACATTCAAGTCATATAGCAAGGATTTGAGTCCTATTAAGTAGCCTTCGACTTAAAAGACAATGTTTTAATCTTTTCTCTTTTTGTGTAAATGAAGATTGAGTGGATATTGGAAGTGGTATTTGTAACTACTTTGGATGTGGTGGTTCTTTAATTCTATAATGAATAGACTCAAAAATTTGCTGAGAAAAAGTAAATCTTTAATATTTTGTTTTCATTCAAAAATTTAAAGACCCTAGAGTATCTTTAGCATGTCATCACCAATTGTTAAGTAATAAAATTTGTATTTTTTGCTTTATGGTTCATTAAGCCATTTCTAAATATTTAACTTTAAAGTAGTTTATTGAGTACCTCCTACATGCCAGGCCTAATCTGGACGCTTCTATAGGTGCTATTTAATTTAGTCCTTTTGACAATCCTTTAATATAGATGATACTACCAGTTATCTTACAAAAATGAAATGCTTGTCTTGATAGTAGATATTCTGTGTTTTAATATACTAGCTCCTCTTGAACTCAGACATAACATTTATTCTTTGATTACTTGTTAAGATATATTTTTAACAGACAGGGCGGTAGCGTTATCATTCTAGACCTCTTACAGCAAATTTTTATACTAAACAAGGTGCCTTCTGAACTAAGTAGATAAGGAATTCTTATCTATTCGCAACTCTTTTTAAAAAATTGCATAGCATGCAGTTTTATAGCGTAATTAAGGTATATTCCTTACTGTTTAGAAATAAGCTTGCATATTTTAAAAAGTGGTTATTTCCACTACTGCTTTCAAATAAGATAATATTTTGATAAGATTAGGTTAGATGTTTTCTTAATATATACTGGATAGGTGATCTTAAATTCTATTTTTTAATCCTAAGGAAAAGCACCGTTCAAGGATATAAAGTTTTTTCTTTGAAATATGAGCATAGATAAAACATGCTGGAATTCACTGCAGGGATCTTGCTTCTGCGTCTCTCACACACACACATCATTGAACCTAGGGCCTTCTACATGCTAAGCAAGCACTGTGTCACCAAGCTTGTCCCCAGCCAGTTTGGTTTTTTTGCTTTTGTAATGTAAAGCAAATAATTTTTGTGTGCAGTGTTAAACTGTAACTACTACTGAATAATGAGGAAGCCACTTTACGTAATTACCACCCCCAGTACCTCCCAGTCAGTTCAACAAGTAGCATTACCAATGGAAAAATTGTCAAGTTGCCATGTTACTTAACTCAGGTTTCTTAGCTGTTTTATTTTTTAAATCTTTTGCTTGAACAACTCAGTGGCAATGGAACCATCCAGGAACAGTTCTTGAGCCTGTCCTCCTGATTTTTTTTTTTTTTTTTTTTTTTTTCATTTTGTAGAAAAGTTGTTTTTAAAAGCTGGGTATGGTGGCAAACACTTGTAATCCCAGCACTAGGAGGCTGAGGTAGGAGGATCGGTAGGAGTTCCAGACCAGCCTGGGCTACACATTAAGCTCAAGGCCATCCTGAACTGTATAGCGAGACCCTGTTTCAAAAAGGCCAAAAAAGAAAAGAAAGAAACGTTTTTGTTTCAGTTTTTTTCAGACAGGGTCTCAACTACATAGTTCAGGCTGGCCTTTAACTGACTGTGTAGCCCACCCTGGCCTCAAACTTGTGGTAATCCTCCTGCCTCAGTCTCCCCAGTCCTGGGGTTATAGGTGTGTGCCACCACGCCTGGCAGAAACATTGTTGATAGTTTAAAAATTCTTATTCATGTCCTATCACCCCTTTGGATTAAATTAAATCAAAAGATTATATATTTTTAATACTGAAAACTTCTATTTATTTATTTAGTTAGTTTTTGTCTTTTTGAGACAGTTTCGCTATGTTGTCCTGGTGGGCCTTGAACTCACTTTGTAGCCCTGGCTGGCCTCAAACTCACAGCAGTCCTTCTGCCTCAGGCTCCCGGGTGCTGGGATTACAGGCATGTGCCACTGTACCTGGCCTGAAAACTGTTTTTGATCCAGCTGTGTGATGTACATGAGTAATCCCAACTAATTGGGAGGCTGAAGCAAGAGGTTAACTTGATCCCAGGAGTTCAAGGTCAGCCTAGGTAACATAGTGAGACCTGTCTCTCACTACACATACATATTTTACAAACATCCTTTAGTAGTTTCAATCTGATCAGATATAATCAAAGACATTATTGGTTAGTGACAAACTTATGTACAACAGTGGTCTTTTTTAAGATATTGTCGCCTAGTGATGTTATAGCTGTCTTAGCTTGTGTAAGTACATTCTGTGGTATTGGAACAAATGATAAGACAGCCTAATGCATTTCTTAGAACATCTGTCATTAAGTGACACATGAATGTGATGTTACCATTAATGCTATAGTGGTTATGTGTTGATACTTACCAGGGAATAACGCAACATAGAACATAGTAACATGGAGTAGCAGGAAGGTTTTGGGGAATCTAGGGCTCAGCAGTATTTATATAATATTTCTGGATTCTCATACTGCACCTAAGAGATTGTTTTGAATATTTAAGAAGGAAAAACAAGCCAGTCATGTTCTCAGCAGTCTAGAAGGCTGAGGCAGAAAGATCTCAAGTTCAAATCCAGCCTGAGCAGCATAGCAGTTTGGAGCTATTCTGTTTGAAGCTAAAAATTAAGAGAACGGCTGGGGGTGTAGCTAGTTGCAAAGAGCCTGGGCTTAGTCCCTAACACTGCCCCAAAGTGGGGAAGAATCTTGTATGGCAAATAATAGAGATGATAATCTGGAATTAATCAAGAAAAAAAGATTATTAGGAAGGACAAAGTGATCCTGTGTATTACTCAAGCGAAATTTATTATCAACACCTCCTCCCTCCTCAGCCCTGAGACACACAGAGAACTGAACCCAGGGCGTTTGCACTGAGCTACATCCTCAGCCCTTCCATAAATTTTGAGACAGGGTTACAGTGCACAGGTGGGACTTGAATTTGTGATCTTCTGCCTCAGCCTCCCTCAGGCTGGAATTATAGGTGTGTATCACTATTTTCATCTGCATTTAAATCTAGCAAATAACATAGTATTTCTGTATTTACTAAATATCCTTAGGTACCCTTTTATTATTGCCATTTTTTCCCTTTTGTTTTGGCTACTTTGCTTTATATTTTACTGCTACTGTATTCTATGATTAGGCATCTAGTTTAATTTAAGCATCATTTAATAGAGAGGATTGTATTGAAAGAATCTTAAGAGAACCGAACTAAAGCTTGCCTGAATAAAAGTGGTAACAAGTGAGATGCTTGTTTATTTTTTCCGAAATCAATAGTTGTCCATTAATAACAATGGAGGAGGTAGATCTGAAAGAATCCAGCACATAACTGGGGGAAGGAACCTCCACCCCTTTTCTCTTCCCCAGTGATTGAACCCAAGGCCTTTGCACTAAGGTACATGCCCAGCAGGATTTTTTTTTTTTTTTTTTGGTCTTGCTAAGTTGCCCGTATTGGGCTTGCATTTAATGATCCTCTTGCCCCAGCCTCCAAGAATGCTGGGGTTACAGGGTTGTGCTACCACATCCAGCCAGTGTATAAAAGTTTTACGTTAGTAGCATACAGTTTGTTTTACATTTTTGTTGTGAAAATTTTCAGGTATATACAAATCCTTGATGTATAATGAATCCTTGATGTATTTAGCCAGCTTTAATAGTTCATGGCCAGTCTTTGATCTAATCCATCCCTGATTATTATGAAGCAAATTCCCATAATGCCATATGTATTTCAGAAGCACAGTTTTATTTCCTGTGTCTTATAATAGTGAAGTATTCTAGCTTAATGAGTCATAAGATCATAGAATTGGAAAATTCCTTAAGAGGTAGGAGTCTAATACAGCCTCTCAACTCGTTGAAATCTTCCCCTTCAGAGTTTCTTAAAAGGCAGTTACTCCTCTCAGATACCTCAGTTATGGGAAACTAGATAAGTTTTTTCCACGTGCCATTTTTAGCTGCTGGTTGCTCAAGATAACTCCAAAATGAAATAGACTGTTGCCTTTTTATACAGTTGTACGATTAAAACAATTTATTTGTAAAGTTTCTATTCTGTATACCAATTTAGAGAAAGAGTTTGTCTTTATGCCTGTTATTATTGGCTTTTGTTTTTAAAACTTTAACAGAATGTTGATATTTAATTTAGAACACAGGTTAAAAGATTGAAATGTTTTAATTTGAGAGAACCAGATAAAAATAGATTTTTCAGTTTATAGCATAATTTGTATCCTTTGTCTTTGTATGGTTATTTCTTTTTATCTTTTTACACTTTTTCTTTTCCTTCCATTTTTCCTGTTCTTGAGCAGTTTTTATCAGGATGGACTAGAAGAAACAAAAGGGAACAGAAACTATATTATTAATTAATTGTCCTAACGAAATATTTTGTATTGGATTGTCGATTATCTGTTCATGTATCTCTAGCCGTATTACTCACTGATGCACTAACATAGTTATATGAAATGGGTATTCTGTATGCTGCAGACAGCCTTTAAATTAAAAGTTAGTGCTTTTGACTATATAAAATTATGGATGTTTTGGAAAGTTCTATCAGTACATTATACTTAGCTTTATATACTTGAGCAACATTCTTTACTTTGTTTTCTCCATTTTGTAGGAGGAAGATATCAACTAGAGATCAAAATACCAGAAACATATCCATTTAACCCCCCTAAGGTATTGTAAGCCTATTTTTGTGCATGAACTTTTAAAATATATTTTGGTTTACCTGGTGTATATTGTAGTGTTTTTTAAAGTTCTGTGAATCTTTACTGTGTGTAAACTTAATGTAAACAAGAATTCAGGCAATGGCAAATCGCTTGCTTCTGAAATTAAAATGAAAAACGTACTTAAGAGCAGCCAACAGTGGCTCTGTGTTGGTATAGGACATGCATCTGATAATGGCTCAAATGCTAGGTCTAGAAAAACGTGCAGTCTTCCCAGATTTAGAGAGAGGTTCTTGCCTCAAATAAGTACATATAGTAAGGAAGAGTAAATTCTACATGGATTCAAAAAATTACTTAATACTGTGTACCAATAAATATAGTGGCAAGACTTAACACTGTGCGTGCTGTTATGGAGCACACTAGAAAAATACTGAGCAAGTAATTGCAGCTGTGGTGACTGTTGAGGGAATGGTCTGACTCTAAGAGGACTGTATCTAAGAAGGGGACCTAACCTAAACTTTTTTGACTGACCCATTTCTCTTATGTCTCCCACTAGCTTAGGCCTGTATTACTTATTTTTGTCTGTTACTTAATTCACCCTTCCATCTTTGCCATTGTCACTCATTCTTCACATTTGTCAGTCTTTCTCCAGGACACTTTTGATCATCCTTTTCTTTTTCTGTTACTAAAATCTGAATTCCTTAGTCTGGTATTTAAAGCCACCTACAATCTGACCTTAGTTTTCTTTTCCACCCTAATCTTCTGCCATTTCCACCCACAACATGGGTCTCATTTTCCTGTCTGTATTATTTGCTGTTTGTAGATGATGTTGTTCTTTCACACTTTTTGTTGGTTTCACTTGAATCTTTGTCCTTATTATTTGAAGTTCTCCTTTTCTTTTGAGATCTGGGTAAAGCACCACCTCCCTCTATTAAGCTGTGTTCATCAAACATTTCTCTCCTCTTTCTCATTAGCATTTTATACAATTTATATGGTGTTCTTCAGTATCAGTTCATGTATTTTGCATATGTATCTTCCACTAGTTTTTTTGGTCCTATGTTATTATCTATAGTTTCTTAATAGTACAGTATCCTTGAGCTTATTATTGCAGTCACTTAGATTGTTCTGGAATTCAGTTGCTCAACCTATGGGTTGTTTACTTTTTGAATAAACATGATAATAGAAGTTGCAGAATAAATTTAGATCGCCTACCACCCTAGAATGCCTGTTATTTTGTTGCCTTATGTACATACATCTGTTCTCTAATTAACCTGGTTGGGGTTTTTTTAATTGTTGTAAAATACACAACAAAATTTACCATTTTGCCAGGTATGGTGGTGCACACTTGTAATCTCAGCACTCAGGAGGCTGAGGCAGGAAGATTGCTAAATCAAGGCCAATTTGGGCTACATGGGGAGACTCTCAAAAAAAAAAAAGTACCATTTTAACCATTTTTAGGTGTATTCAGCAGCATTAACTATGTTCACTGTTTTGTACAATCTTCACTAGTGTCTCTCTCCAGAACTTTTTCATCTTTCTAAACTGCAACTGTCCATTTAACAGTATCAGTAATACCATTGCTTCCAGCTTTTAATAAAACAATTCTGTCTGTGCTTTAACTTCTGGGTACCTCATGTAAATGGATTAACATTTCTCTTTTAGCAGAATGTCAAGGTATATTTAGGCATGTGTTAAAATTTTCTTATTCATTCATTCGCTTGTTTATTTATTTATTTTGATTTTTTGAGACAGGGTCTTGGTATGTAGTTCAGGCTAGCCTTGAGCTCACTGTATAGCCCAGGCTGGTCTTGAACTTGTAGTGATCCTCTTGCCTCAGCCCTCTGCGTGCAGGGATTATAGGCATGCACCGCCATGCCTTGCCTTCAGTTTTTGAGGCAGGGCCTCAATGCATTGCCCAAGCTGTCTCAAACTCCTTGGTTTAAGTGATAGTCCTACCTCAGCCTCCTGGGAATTTAGGCTATAGGTGCCTACCACTGTGCCCAGATTTTTGTGTGTGTGTGTGAAAATAAAAGAAGGAGGGAAACTCTAAAAGAAAAGCACTGTATTTTCATTATTAAATAATTACAATAGCAGCTGTCTTCGGTTTGTGCTGAATGTTACGTTAATGTTTTTCTTGTTAATGTCTTTCTTGAGACAATATTTATTTATTTTTTGTTGTTTTTTCCTCTGTTTTCCTGAAACAATATTTGTAACAGCTATAATAAATAAGAGGAATTGAATCTTGTTTCAGTAGAATCCACATTCTGTAAGGCTGTGCTGGCCTATGTGTTAAACCACTGGGCTATTCTTCTGTCATCTTGGTAGGAAAGGAGTGAAGGAAAAATCTCTGTAACCATGAATCTGACTTGACTGAAACAACCAGGGTTCAAATTTTGTTTCTTGCATTTAATTGCTTTGACTTTAGGCAAGTGTATCTAATTTCCATATACTTTAGTTTTATTGTTTTATTTGTTTTTGTGTTGTTTTGAGACAAGGTCTCATTTGTTTTTAAAATTCTCTCCTAAGACTGTAAACATTAAAGGAATTAAACCATGTAAAGAACTTGAAAAAATGCGAATTGTTTTTGTTCCATCCTTTTAGCATCTTTTAAATTATTGGCAAAAACATTTGTTTCAAGGGTGGTTAAAATAATGTCTTAAATAATTTATGTTGCCTGAGATTTAGTAAAACATGATCTACAAGATTGACTGGCACTGAGCAAGCTCTTCGTAAATGCTAGCCAGTAAGTTACAACTGTCTGTAATAACTGGGCCTGGTGGTGCACACTTGTAATCCTAGCACTCGGGAGGCTGAGGCAGGATGATCACTTTGAGTTCAAGGTTAGCCTGAACTATAATGAGACCCTCTCTCCAAACAAAAACCAAAACCTATCCATAACAGCCGAAAGGTAGAATGCAAAAAAAGTTTAGAAACTGATGAATGGATTTTTTAAAATGTGGCATATCCTTGCCATGGAATATTATTTGATTATAAAGTGGCACATGCCTGTAGTCTCAGCACTCAAGAGTCTGAGGCAGGAGGATTACTGCAAGTTCAAGGCCAACCTGCACTACAAAGTGGACTTCAAGACCAGCCAAAACTGCATAGTGAAACCCTGTACCAAAAAGACAAAAAAAAAAAAAAAAAAAAAAAAAAAGAGCAAAGTGCTAATAAATGCCTTCAAAATATTATGCTAAATGAAACCAAACATGAGTTTATATATTGTATAATTTCATTTACATGAAATATCAGAAAAGACAAATCCATATAGGCAAAAAGTAGATGGGTGCAGTTGCTTGGAAATGAGGATATTAGGAGGATGGAAAGTATCTGCCAGTACAGGGCTGGTTTGTTTCTTTTGCCTCCTTTCTGTTTTTTCTTTCTCTGCCCATCTCCCTCCCTTACTTCCTTCCTCTTCCTTTTGAGACAAGGTCTAAGTCACTACGTTGTGCAGGTTGGCCTTGAATTTGTAGCAATCCTTCTGTCCCAGCCTCCTGAGTGCTGGGAATTACCAGTGTGACCACCACACTTGCTTATGAGTTTCTTATGAGGTGTTACAGTGATAAAAAATAAGATTGTGTTGATGTACAACTCTGAATATATCAAAATTAGTTATACATATTTAAAATAAAATAGCATTTCCTTTTGTATAATAAGTGACTTTATAATAAACTGGTTTGAAAATCAGATAGTTGGATGAATATTTTTACAAAATATTAAATAATTACCCTGGTGAAATCACGATAAATCCTGTAACTCATATGGCAGCACATGTGATGCTTATGAGAATTAACAGTGGATAAAACATTCTTAGTGCAATGAATGAGTTACACTTTGAAATTGATCATTTCCTTACAAAAACTTTTTAAGTTTCCTCCCTGAGGAGATGATCAGTCCCACAAGCATTTAGAATAAACTTTTCAGAGATTTTTTTCATAAAAACACTGAACAAATTCAACCAATAAACTTTCTAAAAGAAACATTAAACATTTTAGCTAGCTGGGTGTGGTAGTATACACCTGTAATCCCAGCCCTCAGTAGGCTGAGGTGGGAGGATTGTTTCAAGTTTGATACCAACCTGGGTTACAAAGTGAACTGAAGGCCAGCCTGAAGTGCATAGTGAGACCTGGTCTCAAAAAGATAAAAAAGAAGACAAAAAAGCAAAATTTTTAGAATATTGACAAAGTATTCATCAAAAATATGTCATCATAATATTGGGTAGTGTAATTGCCTAGAAGCATCAAATATGGATGTTCTAGGAATTAGATTAAAATTTTTAAACCATTAGATTTAGGGTCTGGGAGCATAGCTCAGTGGCTTAAGCGCTTGCCTCGCAAGCCTGAGGTCATGAGTTCGATTCCTGGTACCAAAAAAAAAAATAGATTTAAATTACATTTAATTTTTTTTTAAATTTAAAAAAAATTTTATAAGTTGTGAACAAAATAGAGAACAGTGATTTCAAATACTTAAGTAATGAAGCCTAATGGAAAAAATTGTGTTAATACATTTTTAAATGCAGATTTTAACTCTGCAGATTTAGGGCTGAATTCTGTCTTGTGGGTACATATTTATCTTGATTTTTTGAGTTTCCCTTCTTCAAAACTTCCTTCCACACAGATACTCTGTCCTCATTCTCACTTCTCCCAAACATCAGCAGTCTACTTCATGCCATGGAGGTGATAAAATAGAAAGTTTTATTCTTTATTTTGTTTTGTTTTGTTTTTCCGCTACTGGGAATTGAACTCATGACCTCATGCTTGCCAGGCAGCACTGTGCCGCTGAGCTAAATCCCCAGCCCCAAAGCTTTATCCTTTATTTCATGTTTCTCAGAGGCCTGTGACACAAACTCATTAAGAGCAGTGTCACAGAAAATTGGGTGCTCTGCAGCCCTTAACTATTCGTTGGAGTAAATTTGGGGATAGAGACAAGCATCTGTCTCCATTTTCTCTCCGTAGAGTATCTGGGATTCTGTGCCTTAATGGTTCTGAGTTGAATTAAGTTGGTGCAGGAACTCACCCACATATCTAAATCAGACCAGCTCTGACATAATTCACATACAATACCTGATAGAATGCTACCTTGCTTAAATAAAAGGAACATTAATACAAATAGCTTACTAAGTTTTATGGAATTAATATCTGGTATAATATTTTAAACAAAGTAGAGATAAGCTCTTCAGTGAAATACCCTTATGTTACATAAAGCTTAATGGTGATTAGGGTTATGCCCTTCCTTGAAACTAATAGTAGCAGTTACATAAGAATCATGCTGAAGAATGTAAACCTTTAAAAAAATAAATTATAAACTGGTTTAATAAGTTGGGTAGCCTGCCTGGCAAGTGCAAGGTCCTGAGTTCAATTCCTGGTACCCCCCGCGCCCCCCAAAAAAGTTGAGTAGGGTAGTGTATGCCTGTAATCCCAGCTACCTGGAAGGCTAAAACAGGAGGATTTCAAGTTGGAGGCCAGCTCAGACAAATTAGCAAGATCCCTATCTCAAAATAAAATTTAAAAGGGCTGGGGATATAGTGGTAGAGTACTTATCTAGCATGGGAGAGACTGGTTTCATCCCCTGTCACTTTTTTTTTTTTTGGTCTTTTTGAGACAGGATCTTGCTATGCAGTTCAGGCTAGCCTTGAGATCACTTTGTAGCCCAGGCTGGCCTCGAACTCGCAACAATCCTCCTGCCTCAGCCTCCCAGGTGCTGGGATTACAGGTGTGTGCCACCACGCCCAGCTGCCAGTTGGTATTATAATGTAATATTCTTGAAATACAGTCTTTTTATTGGAGGAAGGGGTGTTTGGGATTTAACCTAGGGCCCTTACACTGAGCTACATCCCTAGCCTGCTTTTTATTTTGAGATAGGGTCTCACCAAATTCCTAAGTGACTTAGGCTGGGCTTGAACTTGAGATCCTCCTGCCTCAGCCTCCCAGAGTGCTGGGATTATAGGCCTGCACTACCGGGCTGTGCTGAGTTTCAGTCTTGGGACTAGAAGTTCGTTATAGAAATGGTAAGTCACATCTACCATGAAGTAAAAGCTGTAATATTTCTGGAACTAATGTGTGTGTGAAATATAGGTTCTATCCTGTAGGAAAAGTTAGAATATCAGTGATAGTTTGCCAGTGTAGTTAATTAGGAATTACTAATTTTATTCGAGTCTGGTCAGATTTAGTACCTTCAGTAGTATATATAATACTATTCAGATTTTTGTGTATCCTTGCACATTCCCTTCAGGTAGTGAGTATTCTGGAATTCTCAGATAAGCTTGTGTTAATTCTGTACGTGACAACAGGAGACTGGAATTATTATCAGGAAGTGTTCTAGTAATAAAAACCAGCCTTTATCTGCTCTGTAATCTGAGTCAAATAGGATTCACATAGGTCATGCTGTGTGTCTTATACTGTTACTTGCTCTTACATGTGATCTCTGTCAAGTCCTTTTTTATTCTACGTTTTTGCTAATTTGGGTCAAGAATGGTAGGACTGTGGGAGGATGTGGTGGTGGAATACAGTGGATATGAGGTGGGTATAAAATAATAGGACAGTGTTCTGGGATGAGTGTGAGTACTAATGGTAATGTTAAACCTAGAGAAAGACAAAGGGCTTAAAAGCCTACAAAAGAAATAGTTGATGATAATAACAAAGGAGAAGGAAATAGAGGATAGAGTTAGTATCACACAAAAACTGCTCATAAGAGTTACTTATGTTACTTATAATAGATAATGGAATGTCCTCTTGGAGGACCCTCTTGCCCTCTTTCCCTTCCTGTCTTCCTCTCTCATTGGGAGGTTGAACTCAGGACCACACACATTGCAGGCAAGAATTCTATAACTGAACTACATCATTTATACTGGATCATCTGTAAATTCATTTATTTTTAACAGTAGATAATAGTATCTCTATAGTAACAGGTTTGCCAAAGTATTAAGTGCACAGTCTAGTGGAAGGCAGGTGCTAAGATTCTGGAGACACTCTGGTAAGCCTGATGGAGTTTCTTTTGTAGAAATCTACACAAGTTGGGCAGAAATCCCCTCTCTTACTATGTCTACATTTTTTTTTTAACTTTTGGGTGATTTTAGGAAGTTGTTTTTTTTTTTGTTGTTGTTGTTGTTTTTTTGAGACAGGGTTTTGCTGTGTATAGTTCAGGCTGGCCTTGAACTCAAGGGCAGTCTTGCCTTACAGCATCCTGAGTGCTGGGATTACAGGCGACACATCTGGCGAGGCAGAGGTTATAGAAGTGTGGTCAGTATTATGATGGAGGAAAGTGTAGGATGCTGTGGGAATAGGTTAGGAAGAAGTGATAGAAAACCTGAAATTTGGAGGTTAGGTAGGAGTTAGCCAGGGCAAAGGGGGTAAAGGTATGTTATTGAGAAAATAAACATCTGTGAAGGCCCAGAGGCAAAAAATAAATTTGAATGTGACTTGGACAGTGTGATACAAGGTGGAGGTGTAAATTAAATATTTAAGGCGTAGGTTAAGGCCTGCTTAAAAATGTAGGCCAAACCAGGCACAGTGGTGCATGCCTGTAATCTTAACCATTTGGAAGTTGAGGCAGGAGGGTTGCAAGTTTAAAGATACCCTGGGCAATTTACACAGTCCCATCTCAGAAATTGTATAAAACAAAAGGAGGGGTGGTGATATAACAGCACATGCACAGCTTCTGTGAAGCTCGGGTTCAGTTCCTGGTACTGCCAAAACAAGGGCGGGGAGTGTTGGTTACATAAATGGAATTGAGAGGTCATTAAAAGGCCATAAACAGAATAGTGGCACAGGTCACATTTGTTTTAAAAGTCACTGGTTTTAGTGTTGAGAATAGATTGGAGGAAACAGAGTAGAAGACAACAATCAAGAGACTGTAATAACAGGTGAAGAATCATACTCTTTGAGATGACTGTGGGTGGAGAGGAGCTATCATTGATAGTATTAAATTTTTTTTATTATAAGAATGAAAAAGGATTAAACATGGCTTGAATGAAGAAGTGAAAAGTGTCTAATGGTTTTAGGTGTGTTAGGCAGGCACTTAGGCCACTGAGCTATATCCCCAGTTTTAGGTGTTTTATTTTTTTTTTTGTTTGTTTTTCTCCGGTACCGGGAACCGAACTCACGACCTTGCGCTTGCCAGGCAGGCGCTTTTGCCGCTGAGCTAAATCCCCAGCCCCAGTTTTAGGTGTTTTAAAGTCATTGGTAACTTAATATGCTTTTCCATGTTGAATATGAGTTACTGAGTAATAGTAGTAGGAGGCAAGGGCATAAAAACAAGTCAACAAGTCACAAGGAGCTGGAAATGGTAATGCACACCTATAATCCCAGCTACTTGAGAGACTGAGGCAAAATGAGCTCAGATTCAAGCCTAGTCTGGTCAATTTAGCAATACCCTGTCTCAAAATAATAAAGTAAAAAGTAACTCCATGGTAGAGTGCTCTAGATTCAGTTTCTGATACTGCCCCTTCATAATACACACAGAGAAGTCATAAGGAGGCAAGAGGAAGTAGAAGCTACTTAGCTTCTTAGTGTAAACAGATTATATTTGGAATACATAGCAAAGTTAATTTTTGTAGAGTAGTACATTACTTGACACATGGTAACTAGTCTGTTAAATATTCAGAGACTTGGGGCTCAAGTAGTCACTACAGTGGCACCTTGATTCATGAACCTAATTCTTTCCATGATTCTGGTTGCAAACCGAATTGGACAAGAACCAAATCATATTTCCCCATTAGGGAAATTTGGTTCTACATTGAACTTAACCATTAAATTAATTGGATTTGGTTCTTGTCCAATTTGGTTTGTGACCAAAATCATGGAAAGAATTGACGTATCAAAAATAATAATGGTAGGGGGCTGGGGATTTAGCTCAGTGGCAAAGCGCCTCCCTGGCAAGCGCAAGGTTGTGAGTTTGGTTCCCGGTACTGGAGAAAAACAAAAACAAAACAAAACAAAACAAAACAAAACAAACAAAAAAAAAATGGTAAGAATAAGAGTGATAGTCCTCTAAAAGCTCATGAGTAGAACATGGAAACTAGATTTCATAGTGGTCTCATAGAGTTAGCTGTTTCACTTGGTTTCTTCTATGCTAGACAAATAAGTGAGGCGATAAGAGTCTTAGCATCTGGAATCAGTTTCCGTAAGTTTGCATTTTGTCCTATAACGCTAACTAGCAATTTGGTTTGGGCTGTTTCTTAAATTCAAAGTTTCAGTATCTTCTCAGTGCCTGACACATAATAATAGGTCTTCAAGTATTTGTTGGGGTATCCTAGAAAAAGATTTGAGAAAAAAATTGTGTAGAAAATGTAGGAATATTGCAAGTACTTGTTTTTTGTCTTTCCATGCATTAATTTTGCTTGCTTTTTTCCTTTGAACCTGTTTTGTATGCTAGTTCACACTAAGAAAGGTGCCACTGACTGTAGTTTGATTTAATGTACTCTTTACCCAAATGGACTTTAGTCTTCTTTAATTTCTCATAGAATGTGACATGCTAGGTAAGTTGAAAACATGTAATTGGTTGATGTGTTTTAAGGTAGATAATTTTATTAAAAGGCTTAAAAAGAATTTGTATCAGTAACAATACGTGGCTTACTGAATGGTTTCTTCCTACTCTCTTTACCTTGAGCATCTGAATATTTCATTTTCTTGTAGTTTTATTTAAACTTTATGTTTTATTTTTGTTGCTTAAGAACTCAAGTGTGCTTTATATTCTAGGTCCGGTTTATCACTAAAATATGGCATCCTAATATTAGTTCCGTCACAGGGGCTATTTGTTTGGATATCCTGAAAGATCAATGGTAAGAGATTTTGAAGTCACTTTCTCTCTTTGCTCATAGGAATACCAAGATTATAAGAATGTGAAATATATAAATTCCACAGAACATAAAATATGTTATATTTTGTTTGGTTAACAAGTTTATAAAGTCTTGTAAGTAAGTACATAATTGAAAAATGTGCTATAATTGAGATCACAATCTGTGCTTAAGGCCGGGCGTGGTGGTGCATGCCTGTAATCCCAGCACCTCGGGAGTCTGAGGCAGGACGATCCCTGTGAATTCAAGGCCAGCCTGAACTACATGGTGAGACCCTGTCTCAGTAACAAAACAAACAAGCAAAAAAATGTAACAATAATCTGTACTTACAGACATGTACTAAGTAATCTCAGGTGTTAGCTTTACATTTTAAGAAAGTCGTGGATTTTATCTGTAATGTTGTGTGGGTTTTGGGGTTTTTTTGGTTTTTGTTTTTGTAAATTTGGGATCTCAGGAAGACACTTATAAGCAAAAAGTAAGTATTGAAGTAATCATCTCCCGAGATGGAATGTAAGATCAAAATGGTTAAAAGTTTTTTAATTGTTCATTGAGCACAGCTAAGGTTCTTAGATAGCAAGGAGTATTTTTGTAGATAATACGTGTCTTCATTTACACAGAACTTCCACTTGGTCTGTCTGATTTGATTTTAGAAGTGTAGTGCTTTAAGAGTTCCTACTTGGTAGCCATCAGGTTCAAGTCCTGGCTCCTCGTTTGTTAAGCTGTGTGCTCATGTCCAAATTAGCTAGTCTCTGTTCTTTTGCTCTTTTGTAAAGTGAAGTTAATACTCCATAGGATGGAAAGGACTGAAAGGAGATGTTTTATGTAATGCTCTTAAAGTAGAACATGGCATAGTGAATGATAATCTGACAGCGGTGTTGTAGGCAAGAAGGTAGCTTTCACTTATTTAGCACATGGTTTTATAGACTGAAAAACTAAGTCAGGTAAAAAAGACACCAGAGCGGGAGAAGACAAAAAGAATTAGAAGATTAGGTGAATATACATTAAGACCGTTTCCTCCAGTTTTACTCTTTTGTAAGAAAAGGAACAACAAAAGAAAATAACATTTTGTAAGGATACATAGAGCCAAGACAATATTTAATGGTCTTACCCTGGCTATCTCATCTTCTGAAAATTGCATAATGGTACTAGAATCCCCAGTCATTCACCACAGAGCTTGCACATGCACGTGTGCACACCCACACACACAGACTCACCCCCTGCTACTGGGAACTGAACTGAAGACTTTGGCACTGAGCTATATCCATAGCCCCTTTTAAATTATTTTTCCCCCTTTTTAATTTTTTAAGGCCAAGTATCCATTAAGTTGCCCACGCTAGGGTTGAATTTATGATCTTTCTTTACCCTCCCAAAGTCTTGGGCTTATAGACCTGTGCTACCATGCCCTGCAGTACAAGAATTTTCTTGTTTGTTTTTGTTTTGTTTTGTTCTGTTCTGTTCTCTTCTCTTCTGCTCTGTTCTGTTCTGTTTTGTTTTTAAACAGTGTCTCACTATGTAGTTCAGGCTGGCCTTGAACTCACTATGTAGCCCTGGGCGGCCTTAAACCCACTGCAAACCTGCCTCAACCTCCCTAGTGCTAGAGTTACAGGTGTACACATTCACACCTAGCCTAGAATTTTTAAAATATATGTTCGCTTGCCTTTTTTTGAGATGGTGTCTCACTGTGTAGTCCAGGCTGGCCTTGAACTTGCAGTGATCCTCCTGCTTCAGCCTCCCAAATGCTGGGATTTCAGGTGTGTGCCATTATGCCCAGCTTGGTTTTGATTTTTGAGGTAGAGTTTTGCTTTGTAGTTCAGACTGTCCTTGCATTCACTGTGTACCAGGCTAGCCTGAAACTCACAGCAGTCCTGCCTCAGCCTGCTGAGTCCCGGGATCGTAAGTGTGTGCTGCCACACCTGGCTCATATGTTTGATTTCTTAAAGGAAAAAAATGACATCTGAAAAAGGTGAAACAGGAATGACAGTATTTAGTGTACAGGTAGTTTGGTTTATTTAGTGACTGGATGAATAGACTAGAGCTGCTTGTTGGGTTTCTTTTTCCATTCTAATAGCATATCTGAGTAAATCCTTCAGCTCATCCCTTGGGATCTAATTTCTTGATCTGTATTGGAATAGACTTCTGTGGTTATCACACTTTGATCTATGAATTTTACCAATCTGTTGAGCTAGTAGGCTTCACCCTGTTTTGTTTTTAAGACAAAGTCTCCCTTTGTAGTCAAGGCTGACTTTAAACAGGCAGTCTTCCTGCCTCAACCTCCAGAGAGCTAGGGTTACAGGCGGGTACCAAAATACTCTGGTACCTCAGTGTTTTTTCTATAAAGTTATCTCTAAGAATCCTTACAGCTCTGTGAATGAGTGACTTGAATGCATGTTTTTCGTAGTAGAGATGTACTCTTTCCACTTGATTTCTAGGACATCAGTTCTTCTGTTCTTTCTGGCTGTTCTCAGACTTCCTAACTAGTTCTTTCCTTGTGTCTTGAAATTTTCCACATTAGAAAGCTGGAGGGGTAAGTCTTGATCTTCTGCTCCTTTTCATCTAAAATCTTGGTGTGCTCTTCTGATTATATAATTTCCCATTATATACTGAAAACTCACCGATCTATCTTCCTGTGCTTCCAGACTCATGCCCTTCTGCCTTTTAGCATCTATATTTGAGCACCTTAGTGAACATCTCAAGCATGGCAGAAACTGAACTGCTGCTTCCCTGATCTAAAACTTGGGCTTCTTTACATAGCCTTCCACGTCCAAGTTATTGGCTACTACATCCTTGAAGTTACTGAGGCCCAAAATGTCATCATGATCCTTGTTTTTCCTTTCTTTTTTGTCTTATACCCTGTTTGTAAATCTGTCAATAAGACCTCCAAAATCTTACCAGGAAGTTTAGTGCCGCTGCCTTGATCCAGAGTCCACTGTCTTGCCTGGATGGCAGCGGTAGCCTTCCCCCTCCCAGTGCCTGACCTTACCTTACTCAGGCTAATTTCAACCGCGAATGACACACCACCCCCACATCAAACAGAAAGAGCTTCCAGACTCAGATCTCCTACTAACTTCCCATTTTGTTTGGAGTTAAGCCAGCAGTAGTGTTACTTCTAATTATCTCCCTGTAACTCGGTGCAAGACTATGGTGTATATATATAGGGAGGCAGTAGTGTTGGTTCATCATATTTCAGTTGAAATATGAAAAGATAGTAAAGACACAGCAAATAGGTGAGACTGTGTATTCATGGAGTAATATTTCTCTATTCTTTCCTCTACTGGATATAATTTGCATTAAGTATATATCCATGTTTAAATGTCAATGTTTAGGCTTTAGAACTGGAATTTGTGAAGAAGTATACAAAATATTGTTGAGGAACTAGGCATGTAGCTCATTGACACAGTGCCTGTGTGGCAAGTGTGAGGCCCTGAGTTCAGTTCCTGGTGGAAAGAAAGAAGGAACGGAAGAGGGGAGGGAGGAAGGAGAAAAGAAAGAGGGGAAGGAGGGAGGGAGGAAGGAAGGAAGGAAGAAAGAAAGGGAAGAATGAGTTTTATAAACGTTGGGTAATTTGGGACAAGTGTGCTTGAAAATAATAAATTTCTGTGTCTTGTCTATCTCACTCTCCCCAGGCTGGTTCTGGACTTGTAGAACAAGCATTTTGCAGACAGGCTATCTAGTTAGTCATTAAGCTGTGTCATGTATCGTTAGTCACCAGGCAAACACAAACGGAAATCCCAGTCCCAATAGCACTGTATACCTGTAAACATACATAGCCATATAGGAATGTGATTCAGCTGCTTAATACATATCTTCGGGAATATATTGTGGTAAAAATATAAATTGGAATACTAGATAATGATAAAAAGGAGCATACTATTGACATAAACATGTATGTGATCTTCATAGACTGTTTGAGTCACAAGAACCAGACACAAGGGCCGGAGATACAGCTCAGTGACACAGTGCTTGCCTGGCAAGCACAAGGTTCTGAGTTTGATTCCTGGTACCAAAAACAAAACAAAACAAAACAGGCACAAGAGTGTATATTCATTTGCATGAAATGCAGAATATGCTAAAACTAGTTTATGGTGATAGGACAGTACTTGGGGGTAGGCAGGAGGTGTGAAAGAAGACGAGTGAGGTGTTTTAGTGCTTAAAATACTCTACATTTTAGTTGGGTGTGGTGGCACACACCTGTAATTCCAGCACTTGGGAAGTCTGAGGCAGGAAGATCGCTGCAAGTTTGAGGCCAGCCTGAACCACAGAGTGAGACTAATATCAAAAAAAAAAACAAGAAAAAGCTGGGGAAGGGGCTGGGGACTTAGCTCAGCAGCAAAGTGCCTGCCTGGCAAGCGCAAGGTTGTGAGTTCGGTTCCCGGTACCGGAGAAAAACCAAAAAAAAAAAAGGAAAAAGCTGGGGATATAGCTCAGCAGCATAGCATCTGTTTGGTAAGCGCAAGGTCCTGAGTTCAATTTCTGGTCCCCCTCCCCCGCAAAAAAGAAAAAGAAATACTCAACATTTTGATGCAGGTGGTGGTTACATGGGAGAATACATATGAAAAAAATACACCTGGCTGTGCCGTATCTTACTGTACTTGCATCTAAATAGATTATAACAAAAAAGAGCTACTGTTTCCTGTAAGCAGCATTCAGTATTTTAAATGAACATGGATTGTTGATCTTTTTAAGATCTTCAAGAGAAAAGTTAATCGAAAGCACAAGTTACACGTGGTTTTTTGTTTTTGTTTTTGTTTTTTTTTTTCCCAGTACCGGAAATCGAACCCACAACCTTGCGCTTGCCAGGCAGGCGCTGTGCCGCTGAACTAAATCCCCAGCACCTACACATGATTATTCTACATGGTATGGGACTACCAATTCCTCGTTTTTTTTCTTTTTTTTTTAAGATGAGGTCTCACTGTGTAGTTCAGGCTGCCCTTGAACTCACTCATGTAGCCCAGGATGGCCTTGAACTCAAGGTAGTCCTCCTGCCT